CCCCCCCCCCAACAGGTTACCCCATTACTACTGTAAATGTTTGAAGCAAAAAACTTAATGCGCAAGTTGTTAAGAATGACCTCATATTATCTTAATTTTCAAGCTAGCATCCACTAATTTAATCAGCGATCCCCTCCCCCTCCCTCCCTTTGTGCCTCTTTCCCACCCCCCAATTTCAAGACTCATAGATACATTAGGTGTACAAGTCCTTTACAGTTCTGTACCCGACTGGTCGGGTGAAGTCGAATTAGTGTTTGACATGTTAATGAAGACTTATGACCCATTTAACAACTGAAGGCTTCTTTACAGTGGAATAGGTACTACCTTCAGTGGCCTTGCATGATGGTAATAGTACTGTATCAAGAACTGTCATTGATTGTTTACACAGTGTATTAAGAAGGTCACACACTGGGCAAAAAACTCTCAGGGAGATGTACACCTCATGAATCCATTGTTGTACTGGTTGAATATGAGCAACTTCCCTTGGAAAATAAATAACGAAATATTCAAAGTTACACATGCCTACAAAGTGAGCCTTTATGCGGTTGAAAAATAAAAGTAAAAATATAATAGATTTAGCATAGGCAAACAAGCTATATTTGACAATTAGCCCATTAATAAAAGAAATCTAATAAAATATTGACATCTTTTAGGTATGATCCCCAAGATAAAGGTTACATTGACCATCAGCACTTTTTGAAGATGATGGGTCGGGCATTTGCCCCAGGAGACACAGAGGGTGTTAGCAAAAGAATTGTTGAAGACTCCCAGGCAACCCTTGAGCTACACCATAATGGGCAGCAAGAAAAACAGTAAGTTATTTTTAAGGCAGTCAATCTTTCTGTGTATAATTCTCAATAGTATTATGCTGGGACATGTATTTCAAGAAGGTTGGTGCTATGCATTTTTCATTGCTGCTTGGTCTTGTATTTATAATGCCGGTGTACAGCTGCCTCCCTTTAAGATATTTTTCTTTTGTCTTCTTTTTCCCCCCTTCACATCTTCTTTCAAAATACATTTAAAACTTTGCTTTAAAATATTCATCCATCAAAATTAACAATTTTTAAATTGTTGAACAATTTTTTATATCATTTTTTTTTATCAGGATGAACATTACACTAAACCAAGCCCAGAATGCAACATTTATCTCAGCTGATGAGTTGGAACAGAAACTAAAGGATCGTTTTAGGGATAAATACAGCTCTTTCCAGGCAGCCTTCAATGCCATTGACACGGCCAAAACTGGCAAGGTCTCCATCAAAGATCTCCAGAAGATTCTTCTTGATCATAACTACCTGGTCAATGATGACACTCTAAAGGAGTTTTTGTTCAGGTAAGTTACCTTTATATGAAGGAAGTTTGATCAAAATATAAATGACACTCATCTGCCGGTTTCTTCTGACATGTCACCAAAGGATTACAGCCCTGGCATGTCTAATTACATGTTTTGCTCTTTACTTTCTCAGGATTGGCTTGACATCGGGCAGCAACATGTTAAACTACTCAGACTTTCTAGATGCTTTTGACGAGGCTCGCGAATCTAGGTACCGACAGAAAAACCTCCCAGTAGTTCGTGTTGAATCATTCTCTCATCTTCCAGCAGACAAGGCTGTCAAAAAGATCAAGTTGATGGTGACAGAGAATGCAGGTGTCTTGAGAGCTGTGAGTTTTGTTCAAATAATTCATAATATTTCAAACTTCATATTATAAATGCTAAAGAAATGTTGTGTATTTGCACACCCCCAATTTAAATAATACAGTATTCTATTTAAAACCTATGCACACTGTGTTAGCATTGGCAGTCCAAACTATTTCATAAGACTTCAAACAACACATTGCATAAATAATAGTTTTTAATGAAAATTTGCCTAGAATTCCACTGAGGGTTAGCAAACTGGCTTTGTGTTGGGCAGAATATGCTCACACAGATTATAAACGAATTTGTTGACCTACGGTTGGCATTAACACGTAGTTACTCTGTAAAATACATAAAAGTCTTATAATGAAATGTTAACTTAGGTAACAGTGTGGAGAAGACAATTTTTTTTTCATTACTTATTATATCTTCATAACCTTTGCACAATGAAATTTTCTATGAGAGAGTACCTCCTTAGTTAATAAATAGTACATAAATATGAAATTAGTATTATTTGTTTACTCACATGACCTATTTTGCAGGCGTTTGGTGCATTTGATCGTGAAAAGCGAGGTCGTGTTGACGCTTCCCAGTTCCGTCGCATCCTTGATAACTTCTGCTTCAAGTTGACAAATAAACAGTTTAAGGCTCTGATGGCCCAGGTCAAAGTTCACACAGATTGTTCGATCAATTATTCAGCATTTCTTGAGGAATTCACTACTAGTGAACAAGATGTAAGTTATTCAGGAAACTTTCATGATTGCTTCAAATTTTAGTTGGAAATATTTTTATTTCCCGTTCCTTATTTGCTTAAGGGGCGTGAACAGAGCCTCATCTTCTCTGTTGTGTAATTTCAGCATGAGAAAATACAGTAAAATGAACCATCAAAGATAACACAATGATATCATCAGTCTTTTCGAGGCTTTCCAGCAAAGATAGTACTGTGCTCGTATTACAGTTTTTACAGGAGTTAAGAGGTTCCCTCAGCAACTTGCATTTTCTTGGCTTTACTAATATTTTACCATAGTTTTCTGGTCTGTAGATGTGGTTTATAGAAAAAATAGTTGATATTCAAATTGGATGTAAGTAGAATTACTGAAGGTAGATATTCAATGTCACCTAATAATTAATCAAAAGTAACACTTATTGTATCTATAATCTGTCAAATTTTAACCTTGTTCACCAATTTTGTCAGCTTGCACAGAACTGGTTTGAATCATTGCAAAAGCAAGAGAAGAAAGACCTGTCCCCACAACAAATCAGCCTGATGGAAATTCAGAATGAACTGAGAGAGATGGTTGCTGCTCGTCAAGAGCTCTTCATGGAGCGTTTCAGTGGCATAGACTATGCTAACATAGGAGTCGTCACCAGGGATGATTTCCGCAATGTGATCAATGAGCTTGCTTTTAGACTAAATGATGCACAGGTAGGTCATAGGGGAAATTATGAATTAAAATCAATGTGTGTGAAGAAAAAATTGTTAGGGTTAGGGATTTTCATTATTTTTCATTTGGCATTTTAGGTAATAATACATATTCAGATTGCCTCTTTCAACATAAATATGTTATTATCACAAAATTGTTTTAAAAAGTTAAAATTTCATACGACTAATTTGAAACAAAAATTAAACTTAAAACTTATTAGTGTAATTAACATTAATATTTCTTTTCAGTTTGACCTTCTCTGGAGTACAGTTGAAGTGAATGAATTTGGGAATATGAATTATCGACAGTTTATAAAGAGGTATTCTGACCTGGATGTATCAGAGGAGATAGATGATGTATTGAAACCACTGGAATTGGGACAGATTCCACATTCTGCAAGCCCAAGAAGAATCTACAGTAGACAAGTAAGTTGGCTTAAACAAATTCAGGAATCCACTTTTTTATTTTGTCCAATCTTTGATTTGCTTCTTTCTCCATCCTGTGTATTGTCGTTGGGCTGCTCCTACTAGCCTGTCATATGAGGATGTATGCCATTAAGGTCTAGTTGCCTTTTAACATACCAGGCTCTAAAAATATTCTATGATTGTTCTCTTCAATTAAATTTATCCTAATACAGATTGAACAATTCAAAGTCAGACAAAGCAATCATTGTACTTTAAATGCCTAAATGCTAGGTTTTTAAATGCTACGGTTTTTTTTTTGTTTTTGTTTTTTTTTTTGGTTTTTGCCTTGAAAATTTTTTGAATTGTCTATCCCAGTGCAACATATATACGTCCAGTACCAAGCCAGCTTCCTTATTTTCTTTTTCTTTCTAACTTGCATGTCTTATTGAGGGTTCGAATCTGCAGAAGCCACATGGTTTGTTTGTTAGCTTTGAGAAGTTACTGCCAATAAATCAGATTAAACTAACATTAATTTTTTTTATCTGATTTTCACAGACACACAGCTCCCTCTCTAGCCGAGCAGGTACAGTGACACCAATGGTGAATGCAGAAAATATTGAGCACAAATTAAAACACAAGATCTTTAAATATTGGCAGAAAATAAGAACTCACTGTCGCTCAAAGGATCCTGACGATACAGGATTTATAGACGTCTACGATTTTAAAGGTAAACTTGATTTATTTATTATAGCATGAAAGTAGTACTTTCAAACTATCAAGCTGTATATCATTTGTTTGTTTTAACAGACATTCCTACAAAAACTCTAGTGATAATGACGATTATACATACCTTTTTCCAATTAAAGAACACTTTTGGAAACAGTATTTAATTGGAGGAGATCTTTAAGTGGAGTGACCTTTAATCAAACAGAGACCTGTAATTGAATATGACAAGCTTATATTTCTAGAAATTTTTGCAAGGTCTTTGCAAATGTAGTTAAATTAATAATGCAAATTATCATTTATATTGTATGCAAAGTTGGTTGATGTTGATCATTCAGTTGTATTTATTGGAACATAGAAAATATTGGCTGTATGTAAAAAGTGAATTAATCAACAACTAATTGCTACTGTAGGGTGGTTTAGATCAGTTTGACAGAGAATTGAAACGTTACTGCAAAGGTTGCTGTTTCTATATTCACACTTAGTACATATTGGCTTTTATTTACTTTTGTTATCACATTCGCTCTTCATCTTCAAAATGTTTTTCCCTTTATATTTTTTAGAAATCATAGAAGACCTTAATTTGGTCATACCAGCCGATGATTTCAGAAACCTGATGGCAAAATATGACATCAAGGAAAATGGAAAGTGAGTAAATATATATTTAAATCATGCAAATCAGATAGGGGACAACCTCTACTAATAGATAATATGAAATTGACAAGTTTAATTTGTAAGACATAGATGGGATGCTTGCTTTTAGGGTAATAACAGTTGGACATATATACTAGTGAGTTAGTTATAAAAAAAACCTTTTCAGCCAGTGTAATTCCACAAAGAGTGTAGCGTTGTCGAGGCATGCACATTAGATCATTTTTTAATGAAAGTCTACTCATTCTGCTATCAGCAATCAGCAAACCTGTGTTGTGTCAAGTGCTGACAAAGGAGGAAGATGGATTCATCAGCCGTCGGTCACATGACGCAGTGTGTGACCGGCTTTTACTGTACAATATGGTCTTTGTTGTAAATCAACATGGGAATCAGGAAAAGACCTCTCAGGACCTTTAGTGCAATGCCTACAATGATCACTACACTAGAGACAATCTCCTATTTTTTTATTTTTTTTTTATCATGCGCTTAATGTCCCATTCGATGAACAGAGCAATAGCTCAAATCTTCATGGTTCAGTATCCACCAAAGGTTTGACATACAGTACTCTACTCTCAGACCTGATTTCTATGTATTTATTGATTTTATGATTTGATTTTTTTTTTTTTTTTTAGGTTCAGTTACAATTATTTCTTGCGTAATTTTGTCCTAAACATGAAACCAACCAAAGGCAATGGAGACAGGAATATAACATCTCGTCAGCGTATCCACAGATCTCGTCATCCCGTAAGTAAACCTTGGTATTGGTCTCATTGACCTCCTGCATAAAGTCAGTGGCATAACACATAGCTCTCGCTGGCTCAAGCAAAGGGATGTGGATGTTAAAGGGCCCCGGGATATTAATTGGCATTTATTTTTACAGGACCATGTGCCCAAAATCAGCAGAGTGGTGCCTCTTAATGAACATAAGGTGTACACACCCCAACATCATAAGTGCCGGGGCAGACGTTGGCTTTGCCCCATAGCCCACATAAAACAGATGACCCCCTGCTTTTTTTCAAAAGAAGAGACTCTTCTTTTCTTGTACAAGTGAAATAAAAACATCTTTTTCATAAAAACAGATGACCCCTGGTACAGCAAGTAGTGATATGCTTGACGTCATGCTGCGCGTCGGTGAGTGTGTTGTGCAGGATTGGAAGAAAATGCGGCGTATATTCCGTGGCATGGATCCAACAGCGGAGGGGTACATCACTACAAAGCAGTTCAGAGACGTCCTCCGTCAGTTCATGATCAACCTCAGCGAGGACGAGTTCTTTCATTTGATGACATACTACGATAGAAATCTTGAAGGAAGAATATCTTATAATGATTTCTTACGAGCTTATCTCAGATAAATTGATTAATTACATTAAATCCAACAGATTAAAAACGTTTTTTTTTTTTTTAAGTTGTTCATGTAAAAAATCTTCCGCATATACTAAGTCAGCCTTAAAATAAAATAACTTTCCTTAAATTTGTTTTCCACCAAAGCAGGCATACATGATACAACACAAAGTAAATAATTATATATTACTGGAACTGTCATGAATTTCTTATTGTTTACAATACATTTCTAACACAACTGTATTGAATATTCAATCATGGTACATATATTTTTATAAATATTCACACTATTTATATAGAATATTCATATATATAGCATACTTTTATAAAGCAATTTATTGTGGGTTTTTTTTATATTTTATCGTAAAAATTATTACAATTATGCCCACCATTTCTTCTATCCTATTTTTCTTTACCAATTTATTTGTAAATGGTCAGTCAAATATTGTACGGTTGTTGGCAAGAGTGAATTAAAAATATAAACATAAAACATGAGAATCTAAAGAAATTATGTTAGTGGCCATCAACCAATGACCCCTAACACCAAACACATAATTATCAATTTTAATTTAGCTAGGTCTATGTTATTTCGACTTCACACTAGTGTACTGTATCTAGGCTAGTCGCTCGATCGTCGGGACGATTTTTCGATCAGCTGCTCGCCAAAAATTATTTGACAGACTTGTCTTGAATATTAATGAGTTGGTTAGAAAATGCTACCAAGCTACTGAAAAAAGTGATCAGCCTCGTTTTCACCTGATTTTCCTGTCTCATCATATCATGTTTTGTTCCTGTAATTATCCTTACATCTCAACATTTTGAATTTTTGAAGTATTTTTCCCGAACTCAGGAAAGGTTAAATAAGCAATATATGGCCACATGTCTCATCGCCGCACCCCCCCCCCCTTTAACCGCCCCCCCCCCCCCTTTAACTCTGCCGTCAGACCAAATAAAAGATGCTATTTAAGTTATAAACAGCCCAAAATTGCCATTTTCCTAGATGCCAGAGGATAGCCCCCACCAGTTAAAAAATATCAATTCAATTCAGTTTATTGCTTCAATATGCTATCACTATCTGCTACAAACATTACAATATAATCCAATACAAATTAAAATAAATTATTTTATAATATTGCAACAAGATAGGTTTTAATACTGTTAAGATGAGTAATAATTTTGACCTGCGTGTTGAGGATATTACATGCCTTATAAGGGATGGGGAGATTGTGGAAGGGTCAATAGACAGGTAGTATGCAAGGGTAAAGGGAATATGGAAGGAGATATATTGCATTGGTGACTGGAAGTGAAGGGGATTATTTTGTGGTATGTAATGGAAGACAGGGATCACCCGGCCAAAGCACACATTCAGAATGAGGCAATTTATGAGTTGCACGTTCATCTGTATACTGAACCCGATTCCTGAGATTGAGTAGACAAGTGCATCATACAGCTAAAAAGCTATCCAAGCAGAGTTGAATGTCAGTCTTTAAGCAGATCTCGTGCTATAAGCATTCTCATTATTTCATTTGTGCCTGTAATATATAAAAATTTAATAACAAATATTATTACTTATAGAATAATAATTTATGTGGTGATGAGATAAGATAAGGTAAACATTGTTATAGTCACAACTATAGGCGACATGAAATTGAGTTGCTTTATTGTACTGACATACACTATTATACCTTCTAGTATTTCATGGACTCTGACGTCTCGTAGATATTGTTGAACTGGGTAATCTTTTAAATACCCATACCCACCAAACATCTGCAATGCTCTATCACATATCTGTAATATGAATTATATTGGATTTTTCAAAAATAGATATACAAATACATTTTTAATTCATGTTTTATTGAAGGTACATACAGGGTAGCTGAATAAATTGTTTAATAATAGGCTGAGATATAAACTTACATGTGTACATTTTTCTGTGGCAAATAACTTGGCCATTGAGCAGAGAACAACGGCATCTTGAGAGTCGTCTTGAAGTGCTTTTGCTGCATTCCGAACCACCAGCCTAGAGGCTACCAAGTCAGATGCCAGCTCAGCTAGACGGAATTGTAAGAACTAATTCAAGAAAGTAGGAATGAAATTAATAATAATAATATGTCATTCTTATATAGCGCTTAATGCCTTAACAAAGCCTCTAAGAGCTTCACATTATTATCCCGGTCATTGGGGGTTTTTTGTTTAATTGGTTTTAGTTTAACTCGAGAAAAGTTCGGCTTTGTCGAGGCTAAGAGTATATGGGATGGGTCAAGATATTTGCAGGAGGGGATCCAGAAAGAAAAAAGCCACTCCTGTCTATTCAACATGATTCAGGAAAAATGCATTATATCTATTTATTTTTTTTTTTTTGACTTTTTGAGATATTTCACTTATGGGTGTAATTATATTATGTGAATTGATCATACACTAAAAACATGTTAAGAAATAATATGAAATTAATGAGGGTTACGCATTATATCCATCCATCCATCAAAGCAAAAAAAAATCAGGGGAGAGCATTATATCCACAGAGCATTTAAAAGTTGGCAACCAACCAATCACAGAAGACAGTTATGCATATTTAATTCCTAGCTGGTGAAAGCACACAAAACCAAGTTTGGTTGCTAGTCAGAGTAACAAGGAGTACATTATGACCATGACTTATGAAAGTCTTGGTCAGGTCCAATATAAATTTTAGACTGTAATATGAAACTTGACCCAACTTTTAGAGAGAGTTTGTACTGTTCTGAGTATTTCATGTATATTATTTTTTTAAGTGCAACTAATCCTTGTGGTTTATTTATTTAATACTGTATTTATTTATGTTTCAAGGAAACCAAATTTCACGTTTGTTTGCCTTGTTTTGTGGTCATGACAATAAAGTTTATCTTATCTCATCTTATATTAAGACCATTCAACAAACAACATAAAACATACATATCAATAATTTCTTTTGGAATTTGATTCCTTGGAATTTGATATACAATGTTTGTAATTAGATTGATAATTCATTAAAATTCCCTGAAATTATCCATAATAATATTTATTTAAAATATCTATTATTTAAAAGAGTGTACTTTCTTAAAATTTATATGGGCCTGAAGTGTTCTATGTTTAGAAGTTTGGTATTTGTTTTGTGTATTAAGTAAAAGGCATACATTCATAGTGAATTTCAACATATTAAATAAACTAACCATTATACTATATTAAACACACAGGCTTGCTAATAATAATGTGTTACTGCCCACAATAAATACATTAATACTAGCAATAAAACTATGCTAAAAATAATAGCATTTGTTACATACTTGATTGTGTTGTAGTGTCTGACCAAATTGTTTGCGCACTTTTAAGTGGTCCCTCGCTTGTTCAATAGCACCCTGTGCTGCACCTAATGAGCAGGAGGCTATATTGATTCTACCACCGTTCAGGCCTTTCATCGCAATATTAAAACCTGTACCCTCTTCGCCTATTCTGTTGGACACTGGTACACGGCAATCTTCAAAGTTAACAATTCTTGTAGGCTGTGAATTCCATCCCATCTGGCATGGAAGAATAAAGGAAATAATATAAGCTACAGTAAGCAAAAATACCGAGTGGGACTTTACCATCTACTTTATATAGGGGTGTCCCCTGAATTCAAGTTGATCGTACCGTGTTAAAAGATATACTTTCCCTTGTTCTGTGGCCAAAAAAGTGTCCTCTCAATAGGGGTGTCCCGTAGGAGGAGTTCTATTGTATTCAATTTGCAATGCTGTGTTTCATAGATGCTAATGAAAAAAGATCTGATTACCTTTTTCTCCTTCTTTCCAAATGTTAATCCAGGTGTTTCCTTCTCTACCATTATGCATGAGATACCTTTTGGACCGGCACCACCTGTCCGGGACATCACCAGGTACAAGTCTGTATCGCCACCACCACTTATAAATGCCTGTTGCCATGAATATGATATAACAAATTTCTAAATATTAATTTTCAATTTTTTAACAGAAAAATTAAAAAACAATATGAAATTGATGTTAAAGATAAACAAATAATTATTAATTATTTAAAAACAATGTGTTTATCTGATTCCCTACCAAAAATAGCAAGCACATAAATAATTGCAGTAAATCAATTAAAATGTATTAATCATGTAATGCAGATTACTTTAGCTAAACTACAGTAGTGTTGTTTTGATGATGAATGAATTACATAATGATGAGTACAGATTGCAGGTTGAGGTAGATTATCAAATAAACAAATCCACAAGGTATCAATTAACCAATTACCAGTTAAATAACCAATGTGATAAGGGGACCATGGTAATAAACTATAGTGATCTACAGTGTTTATTGTTTCTGGCAAACTACAATAATGTACAATACTTTTCTTGGTAAATCACCACTACAGTACTGTACTTAGTTACAACTTGGTTAAGACTCATCTGTGTTTACATTTGATTATTTTTGGTAAAACTATACATGTACAAAAAATAATCCAGTAAGACCCAATAAAAAACAAAAATGATTAGTTTATCATCCCCACCCGCATGTCTTCTACGACTACTGGAAAAAAAAAATTTCATATTTTTTTTTTTTTTTTTTTTGAGTAAATAGTTAGTAGATATGGCTTTATTGTCTCAATCATATATTTGAATTTGAATATCAATGCACCAGCAAACAACCGACTTGTATAAATCTTCCCAAGTCCATGCTTATACCATGGAGAAACTATTGCTGTACTTTTCACAGATTTTGAAAGTGCAAAATCTTATTAGTAACTGCTCCATATTTAAATTCAAGTGCAAACAGCAGTATAAATCTATGATTTGGCACTTCATCTTGGTCAAAAAAATAACCCAATGGAAACAGTGCTTTATGGGGGAGAGCAATGTGTATATGGCACTGATAGCATCTGATGTAAAAACAGAAATATACAAATTAAAACGTAGTCTGGAATAATACTAAAATGTTAGCAGAGGTTGGACATTCCATTGGTTGTTGGTCCAATAAATATCTGAATTTTTTATAATATTGGAAAACAAAGAAAGATAATAAAAGTGAGAATTGAGGGAGGTAGGACCTAGTGCATACAAGAGGAATGATGTACGAATGTATATATGTTTATGGAAATGTACCTTTGAGCCATTCATGATGTAATGGTCCCCGTCCCTTCTGGCAGATGTTGTCAGAGAGGCTGCATCACTGCCACTACCAGGCTCCGTAAGGCAGTAGGAGGCAAACTTCTCCATTGTACAAAGCAATGGTAGCCTAGATTGCCTCTGCTCCTCACTACCAAACTCATCGATCATCCAACAACACATACTGTTTGAGGGTACAAATGATGATGAAGAATATGACAATCGTAGATGATTGATAAGATCATGACACTGATGACAATGTAATAAATAATACTATGATAATGATGATGACAATAGTCCGAATGGAGGGACGCAACTCCTAAGAAAGCATGATAATTAATACACTTGAACTTGCCTAAGTCGAATCCAAATGCCATTAAAATATTGTTCAACTTTTAAAAGATAAAATTTGACTTACAGATTGTTAATTAATGGAAAACACAAGAATTGGCATGTAAAATAAGATCAACTTAGGAATTATTCAACTTTGGCACAGTCGACTTAGGCAAGTTTAACTATATCAATAATAATTTTAACAGTAACGCTAACAAGTACATTGTTTTTGTATATTTTACAATAATTTAGAACACCGTACTTGTGGATGCTCATGAAGGCTGTTGTACTAACACAGCCCTGGGCCAGGGCCTCAAATATTACAGATGCGTCAAGTCTAGACAGGCCACTTCCACCATAATCTTCTCTCGTGTAGATTCCGCCAAATCCCAGTGCTGCTGCTTTTCTCATTGACTCCATCGGGAATAATTCCTGTTGGATAAATGTTGATTGAATATTAATTATACTAAATAATAGATTTAAATGATACAAAAAATATGTCAACCTTCAATAATGCCATGGCCTGTATTTTGACCCCTGTAGTATCTAAATGATGATAATTTTAAATTAATTAAATAAATAAATAAATGAGTGAATGATATCTTTGTATAGAATTTAGACTTGTTTAAAGGCAGTTTCCATTGGTTTTGAACCTTGTGTTTAAGTTACTTCCTTAAAAACATTTTTTTAAAAATTTTTTATTTAAATGAAAGTTAAACATTTATATTGGTGATGAAAATTATATTGACTAGGTTGATTAATAGATTATAATAACCTTTTCATCCCATTCTTTCATGAATGGTGCCATCTCATTTTTGGCAAAGTTTAGAGCAACATTTTGGAACTCCTTTTGTTCATCATTTAATCCTGCAGCAGCTGAAATAAACCAAAGGTGTATATATTGTTATATGATGTAGTTACAGTATAAATTGGTGAATCAGTTCTTGGTAACTTGACTTCTTCGTGATCAGTGTTGAACATGATTTCAGTTAATTGATTAATTTAATAATATTCTGTGATTAAATTATTTAAATAAAATATTTAATTTAATTAGTCAAGACTTGACCTTGGATTTTTTTCATCACAGACCAAATTCCAGCACCGATGGTTATACATACATCTCTCCTCTGACGATACCTAGCTAGGTCTACTATGCTAGGCTAGACAGCCCGGTCACCATAGATAATCCGGCTCTAAACTAAACTAAAGCAGAGCTTGCCGTATTTTTGTGCCTGGTCTAGTCTACAAATGGCCAGGGCATCGGAAAAATGCTTCTTACGGTTTATACACGAGGAGAATAATCTTGGATACCATTTGAATGTAAATTGTGACTTCACAAACGGTTTTACTGAAACATTTTTCAATAAACTACGAGATAAATTCACTGATATTGACATGCTGAGTGAAACCCAAAACATAAACAAACAAATCAGAATTTTCTAAAGGACGCCCCCTCTTTTATGTCTAAGTTATGACGGTTATGATCAAAGATCTTTGGTCCAGTTTTTTCTCTTTTTTTTTCTCTGCATACTATGTAAAACCTTTAGCAGATGAGTCAGAAATCAGTGATAAACAGCAGAATGAATTTAAATTGTACATTCCAATGGATCATGGCATGGGATCACCTTACTTACATCCTGTTACAGAGCGGTGGTAACATCCTTAAAAAAAGTCATTTCATAAAAATAGAGACAAAATGTGTCGTGTCATTGTGACTTTTATAAACTACTCGATATCATCGGTATGTACAAAGATGATTATAAAATCAGATCGCAGTGTCATGTCGATCTTTTTTCACCTCCAGAGGACACACCAATCATTATATCCCCGGGGTTTCTATATAGGTCTAATCAGCAAATATACAGTAGATACATACATTCTATTTATTGGCGGACAGACTGAAAAGTCACATTAGTAAGCGTTAAATAAAATCATACAAAGCAGTTTAAGTGGCAACCTACTAACATGATCAACTTAAAGTAACACGAAAAAAATTATATAAAACTATGATGTAAATTATTTTATAATAATGAGATGCTGTGCTCAGCTGCCTGCGTGACCATAAGTTTATTATTGTCAAACAATAGGAAATTTTTCATGTAAATCAGTGAAAACCTAGGCCACTTTATGTGCATGGAAAATGCCTTACTTATTTCTTACCAGAAATTGAGAGTCATACCAGTTGTACAATATAATATATATATATATAT